TGAAAATAGTCTGGCACTTCCTCAAAAAACTAGAAACAGAAATACCTTATGATCCAGCAATCTCACTCCTAGGTATATATTCTAGAGATCTAAGAGCAGTGTTACGAATAAACATATGCACACCTATGTTCATAGCAGTACTATTCACAATAGCAAAAAGATGGAAACAACCTAAGTGCCCATCAACAGATGAATGGGTCAGCAAACTGTGGTACATACATACAACAGAATACTATGCAACTATAAAGAATAGTGGAGAGTCTGCTAAAAATCTTTTCACATGGATGAATGTGGAAGACATTATGCTGAGTGAAATAAGTTAATCACCAAAAGACAAATATTTTATGTTCCCACTATTATAAAATATCAAGAATAGATACAGACACAGAAAGCAAAGTTCTCTGATGGTTATAAGGATGGGAGAGAGAGGAAGCGGGAATCGCTTTCTAGATAACAGACATTTGATACTTTTGGTGATGGGCAAGACAAGACCAAATATGGGTGAAGTCAGCCCAACCTGACCAAGGTAAATAAAGACACTAACAAGTACACAAGAAAAAGGGACAATTTCAGTAAATGCTGTAACAGATACAATTTTGTAACAACAGTGAAAACAACCAAAAAATATGCGTACAGTTACGTAGGTAGATATGGACGCATATACGTGTATAGAAAGGCACATGAGTAAATGCACGTGCATGTACAGGTATATCTGCAGGCATATGTATTTACATGTTTTGTGTGTGCTGCGTATATACCCACATAAATAAACCACATAGGGGGTACAGTTACAGAGGCTTCCTAGACATATCCAAACAACCTGCAGGATTAGTTTACTGGGTTAGCAGGCTTGGGACCACGGTCTCAAGGGACAACTTAGTCAACCGGCATAACACAGTTCACAAAGATAATGTTCTATTATCCTAGTCTGATGAGTAGTATCTGGGGTCTTAAAAGCTTGCAAGTGGCCATCTAATTATTTGTCTGCACTCGTATGGAGCTAAAGAGAATGAAGGAAATCAAAGGCTCAAATAAGAAACTAGTCCATGAGACTAAGAGCCCACATGAACCACAGCCTCCTCTGAACTGAGGCCAGAAGGAACTAGATGGTGTCTGGCTACCATTACTAACCCTTCTGATGAGGGATATAATAGAAAGTCCCAGACAAATTGGGGAAAAACTGTAGAACAAAACTCAAATCCCTAAAATAGGCCAGACCTACTGGACCAATAGAGACCAAAGGAAGCCCAAGACTACCACCCTAAGATAACCTCTGAACTTGGCTTTGAAGCTATTCCTACAGGTCATCTTTCAGCCAAATAACAGATTGGCTTATAAAATAAACAATATTACCTGTGAGTAATGTGCTCCCTTAAACAATTACCTATAAGAGACCAAACAGTCAACATTTGCCCAAAAGCAAAGACAAGAGGGCAAGGAGGGGAAGGGAAGCTAGGTCAATGGAAATAGAACAAACAGAATGGAAATAATGA